GGCTCCTTCCCACTGGGAGCTGCAGGTCGAGCAGGTGGTGGAAGGGGCCCAAAGATGCATATGCTGCCCTCAGCGCTTCCCCGACACCTACCTGCCACCGCAGCCGCCACGCCTTGCCTGTTTCCCCAGCTCCTCTTCTCTAAATGAGCACTTGACAGCTGGGAAAAACAGGAGCCGCCACATTTGCTCTGTCCCACAATTCTGCTCAGCTCAAGTTCATGGAAATCATGTGGTGGCCCTTGAAACTTTAGGAGGGAACTGGCTCCGAGATTGGGAGGCAGCCTTTGGCAGAGCCAGCCTGATGGGAAACTGAAAAGAGAGAGGCTTTTCCCTTCTTCCGCCTCGCTCATGGGCTGTGGGGTTTGGGATGGCTCTAGAGCCGAAATTCTGATGAGCTTGGCTGATGATCGGGCAACACCAGAGCTTCCTGCTACACGTGTTCATTCTCTTGCCTGTCTTCTTTCCCTGTTTAAAAGAGCCGCACATGTAGGGGGGAGAGATCTGACTAAAGAGCTGTGCTTTAGCTGTGCTAAAGAGCTGCCTCCTGCCTTCCATGATCTCCAAAGTTCTTCCCCCATGGAATCATAGCTTTCTCCTGCCTTCCACAATCTCCAAAGTTCCTCCCCCATCGAATCCTACTTTTCTTCTGCCTTCCACGATCTCCAAAGTTCTTCCCCCATTGAATCCTACTTTTCTTCTGCCTTCCACGATCTCCAAAGTTCTTCCCCCATTGAATCCTACTTTTCTTCTGCCTTCCACGATCTCCAAAGTTCCTCCCCCATCGAATCCTACTTTTCTTCTGCCTTCCACGTTCTCCAAAGTTCCTCCCCCATCGAATCCTACTTTTCTTCTGCCTTCCACGATCTCCAAAGTTCCTCCCCCATTGAGTGCCTCCTGCCTTCCAGTACTCCTCAGATCTTTGCAGTTTCTCCCCCCATCGCGTGTTAGCTTTCTCCTGCTTTCCTGCAGAGGCATCTGCAGAGGGTAGAACCTGCAGAGATCAGAACGCTCTGCCTCCGTGCGCAGCAGAGACCGGAAGACCAGCTGGCTGATGGGAGGTGCGCGCATGTGCGGTGGACCTGGGCTGGGGCGACGGCTGGCGTGCTGGCAGAAAGGGCTCTGCGTGTCACCTGTGGCACGCGTGCCATAGGTTCGCCATCCTGGACCTAGAAGGTCCCTTTCAACTCTGTTAATCTGAAATCACAAGTGTTCCAGAATCTTTACTTCTTTATGTTCAAGAAATCAACCCCACTTCCTTGGTTGAAGTACTGATACAACACGTAAGCTTTATTCAGATCATAATTCTTAACGGAAAATATTGAGAATTGAATTTCTTTTCAGTAGGGCTGGAACATGAACTAAAGGAACCCCAAAAGCAAAATTTGCAACTCTGGTATATACATTACTAGTCTTGGAAAGTTAGTGTGGCACTGAAAAAGTACTACTAGATTGCATTCTCCTTCAGAGTTACTTCTACTTTTCACTTAATCAATGCAGTATCAATTATGAGTCAATCTCTCTATCTTCTACTGATAATGAGAAATAGAAATAATTCTAATCAAATTATTAGAATATAAGGATAATTTCATATATGCATGTGATTCTAGCTTAACAAGATCAAAAAATTAATTGTCTATGAAAAATGAGAGACCATATCAAGACTTGTGAAGACATTTCATTTACAGATTTGGTGATTTATAATTTGGCTTGTGAAAGGCACCCCAGTCTCCCAACACTTAGTCTCATTCCATAGGTATTTCCTGATGCTCACATAGATGTTTCAGTGATTTTGGTTTTTGCTTTTAGCAGCATGGGAAAGGCTTCATATAAGGCCTTTTGCCTTTTCTTTGGGACAGCAGGGATTACATATTCCCAGAATGCACTTAGCTCCTTCTTCCAGCAGGTCAGAGGCTAGAGTGCTCTACTATTGAGGAAAGGTGTGGTTGGTCCCCTCTTCTTTACTCATCAACTTGGTCTGTATTTTGCTTTTAAGACTGTTACCCCTGCCTCAATGTCTTATTTCCTGCCACTGTGGCTAAGTGGTTAGAGTGCACATTAGAGTGAAGTACTGCAGGCTACTTGTCAGTTCAAATCTCACCAGGCTCAAGATTGACTCAGTCTCAGCCTTCCAAGGTGGGTAAAATGAGAACCCAGATGGTTGGGGGCAATATGCTGAAACCGCTTAGAGAGGGCTGCAAAGCACTGCGAAGAGTTATTATAAGTCTAAGTGCTATTGCTATTGCTGTAGAACATTACTCCTAGAAAGTCTCCTTCATTGATGGTACAGTAATAAAAAGCAACATGAGATTCCTTAAAAGAAGGATCAAAGTGGAGGTGATGGTAGGCCAGTTTACTTCCACTTTCTCAAATAAATAAAACTGGGAAGAGGAGAGGTCTTCTAAGAAAAGAAGCTATTGCTCAGAGTAGACCCATAATCTGGGGGAAAAAACTAAGCAAATAAACAAAAAGGTGCTTTTTACAACAACTTTACTGAAACAGTTTTCAGGGAAAAACCAGCATGGAAATGGAAATTGTGCTGAATAAATCATAAACGCCAAGTGCTAATTAGGAAAGTGGATGAGCAAGACCAGGGAGCATTTTGCAGGAGATGGACAGCTGAGATTGCCTAAGCAAGAAAGGAGGGGGAGTAGGCTGAAGTGAAGCAAACCAGAGCCACCACTATTCACACCTCCAGCCATCCACTCAGTTTGTCATGGGTCAGAGAACAGACTGCCTTAAAAAAATGCAGAAACTTCTTCGTAGAGATCCCGAGAAGAGATGAGCTCTTACCGTAATATATGGGCTGCAGGGGTGGGGCGGGAGATGACTTTGTAAGGGGTGGCTCCTTCTGGAAAGCTACTCTTACTTTCACCCAAACAAGCCATTTGTTTCCCTCAGGCAGTCTTCTGACACCTTCCTTTTACTTGGACATCCGCTCGTTCCCTGGAAACACTCCCTTCTCCCCACCCTCCACGTCCAGATTGTGACCGCTAGAGCGCTCTGCCTGCAGCATCCCCTACAAAGAAGGGAGGGAGGGAGCCTGAGAAACACGCTTCTGCCGGGCGAAAGGCAGCAGGAGTCCGAGGGAGGCTGGGCGACAGCGAGGATCCTAAGAAAAAACCCGCTCGCTTTGCTCCTACTGGGGCTTAAGGATTTACAGCACCTAATAGGCAGCAGCAGAAAAGACGGCCTCGCCCCCCAGGGGAACAGCTGGTGGCTCTGCGTGGGCCTTAAGATCTTGTACAGGAGACCTTCTTCTTCTCGCTCCAGGCCAGCTCAGCCCGGCCCAGCGCGCTGCGGCTCCGCTCTTGCGCCCGCAGCCCGCTTCTTGTTGCCCTGAGGCACCCGAGCGCGAGGTGAACGTGGCAGGGGCCCTACCCGGCTCCGCATTTCAGCGCACTCGAGCGTTGCTGGAGAGGGAGCGTCTGCCCGGGAGGATAACCCAGGCTTCACGCGGCCCTTATTCGTCAAGCAGGCAGGTCTTGGCCAGATGCCAGAAGCTTCCTCCTCCCCGCCGCGCCCTGAAGTGCCCTGAAGTGCAGTGAAACTCCCCAGAATTTAGACCCGGATGTGGCAGGCGCGATCCAGCTAAGTCTGCCTTTTCTGAAGGGAGCAATCCACTTACTATTCTGGCTCCTCGTTCAAGGGCATTAAACGTTATACGAGCATGAGGGAGCAACTTAATGACATTTACGGTTTGAGGATTTTGCCACCCGTGTGTGTGCGGGGGTGACGAAGGAAATCCTCCCAGAGCCCGGCCTATTCCTCTTTTACTCCAAAGAAAGCCAATCCCGCGGAGTTCAGCGAGGCTTTTGCTTCAGCCAAAGCTCCAGCTACAATCTGGAAAGAGGAACGCATGCCGAAGTACAGTTTGCGAGGGAATAATTCCCAGCGCTCAAAAGGAACTTGGTTAGGCATATTCAAGGGAATGGAATAGATCAGAATTAAAATCGGCCTAACTTATGAGTAGAGATGATTAGCAACTAGGGTTGGTTTCCCCTATATCCAGGCCAGGGGCCAGGCTCCAACATGGGCAGCTCCTATACGTTCGCCAGTTCGCTCCCTAGGCGGGCCGGTCGTGGGCCTGGCACTGTATTTATGGAAGCAGCAGACAAGACCACAAGAACATGGTTGACTCTCGCTGTGCGTCCCAGGCTTGGCTGGGACCCAGAACCCTAGCTAGCTCGCCAGCTCGGGATCTCAGCCAAAGCAGGCAGCTGAGGGGCACTGCTGCAGCTTTCCTACTGGTGCGTGCTTTGCTGTTGCTGCTGCTGCTTTCCGCTCCTCCCTTCCCGAGCAATGCAGAAGCGCCTCAGCTCCGAGCCCCCTCGTTTCGCAGGGGATGATGGATCGTGCCTGGCGGGGGTGATTTGGTGTTGATCGCACATTATCGCTGGCAGGTTGGACTGGTTGCTGATGGACTGCTTCCACCAGCGACGCCTGCCCGCACAACCCTAAAAAGAAGGCTATAGAGAAAGCTGTTTTTCTGTTGTAGTTCTTTCTCGGGAGAGTTAGCACGTCTAGGACAGAGACGGGCACCGCGTTCAATCCCCTACTCAAGAGAAAGTTGCCTTTGGGTCTGCCAGAGGTCGGGATCTGCGGAAGCTCCCGTATGTGTCGCTTTCTGTTTCCGTCATCGCCAGTCTCGGGAGCCCGAGCTTCAAAAGTGAATTCCGGTACCGTCGATTCCAACGTGACTCCAATGCCTTCCTAGAAGAAAACCTTTGACATTAGCCCCGGTTCGGTCGACTTGCCCACGCCGCCCAGGCCCCAATGCTGGATTTCTACAGGCAGAGCATCAGGAAACTCTCGGCGCCCTTCGCTGGGGGCGTCTGCTGCTGACGCTGTGGAAATTCCCACTACCACCTCGTTCTCCCAGATCCCTGGTACGATTTTACCGTCCTCGCTGGTGTCACTGAAAAATGAGCAAGATTAGGGATTGGCAGCCTGGCACCTCTGTTGCCTGCTAGACAGAAAACCCAGTCTTGCCAATGGCACGTTTCTAGTCAGACTGGAAAATAAACAGTCCATACATATCCAAGACCCAGCGCAATGTTTATTGTGATCGAAGGCTCCCTGGCAGGGATCCCTTTCGCCAGATGCTCCCAACACATTGGAAGGAAGATTAGCCATTGCGTTCGCGTATCAGGTTAAGCCACCGTGCACTGGTTTGTATGAATGTGGTTCAGAAACAGATCAGTTTCTGTGGAATGAAAAACAGGGATTATGACTCATCCCCGAGAAACAATTGGGTTTTGGTCAAGAATCCGAAATTGAACAAATTATGGCTCAGCACAAGATGTGAATTCAAAAAATGGCCCTTTCCTTTCTTCCGGTATAAACAAACTGAATACCATGGCAATCCCTTTTTTTCATTTTAGTCATAGAATACTGGCCCTCCCTTATTTTTAGCCTGTGCTTTAAATAATATCTGATCCAGCCTTCTTAAAAATAGCTAGTTTTTTCCTACTCAATCTGAAGGATAGTATAAGTGTGTACATTTTCTTCTCCTCTATCCCATCCGTTCTGGGTAGACCTACTTGATCTGTCTTATAGAGATCTGGACATTGGCAGAGATAAATTTCAGTTTCTTTGCGGCGACCCAGTAGTCGTTCGTGGTCCGGAGTTTTACATCTTAGACCCGGAAACTTTATTGATGTGATTGGGCATACTTCATGAAGCAATAGTTGAGTCTAAGAGGAAGTGTCTCTATGTTGTGAGAGAGGCAGGAATTCATCAGCAAATCACCCTCTTAAAATACCCACCCACCCACCGACCGACAGACAGACAGACAATGAGAGCAGAACAGTTTACTAGCTAAAATCCCAATGGATCAGAATAATCTATCTTGTAGGCAAGAAGTTAAGCAGGACTCTCTAGGGCCACGTTACGAGGAAGATCCCTGCTTCCTCAGTCTTTGCTGTTTTATGAAGGCAGCACGGATTCAAACGATCGCTGCTCTTCTTACTACTGTGCCAATTCAAATATAAGTTTCCGGAGTTGCCCAGGCTGAATTGCTACCACATACTAAGAATTGGTTCCACATACTATGAAAACAAAGAAGTTCGAATATTTTCTAAGTTCCACTTAGGTAACCCTCTCCCCAAGGACCCCCCACCACTATCAGATTTCAGCCTCCCGTTTGTGGTGAAGCTGACGGCGTATGTATGGAAATTACGTGGAATGTGCGAAAGAGCAGCACTCCCTCCAAAGATGAATGTTTCGATTATCAATTCTCAAGGGTGCCTTTTCCAAATCCTGCTTGGAGGCACCCGCGCCTTGTTTGGCAACCAATCCTGCGGACAGACTTGGGCTTGGAAGACGGAGAGAAGTTCTTGGACTTCAGCACGAGTGCGATCGACCCCACAGGACTGCGCAGGCGCTGGCAGTTGCCCTGAGCCTCCGCTCTTCGAAAAGCTCTTTGGAATGAATGGCGGTGGCGGGAGCGGTGCTGGGCGTACTGGACCCTCTTGGAGCAGGTTAGTGGATGCAGAGGAGGCGTGAGTCTTTCAGAAGCAGGCGGATCGAAGCAGGGAAGGTTAACCCCTGGGCTGCCGAGCGTCGCCAATCCGCCAGCTAGCTCAGCCACCAGCTTTCTCCCCTCAGTCCAGGCCGTCCTCTTAGGCTGCTGATGTCAAACCTGAGGGCTGTTGAATAGGGGGAACCGGGGGATCTTCCACCATTCCTCTTGGCTAGGAGAGGGTGCCGGGCAAGCATGATAGGCGGTTTCCCAGCTCTCTGGGGTTAACTCCTCCCTGCAGGTTCAATTCTCTAAGGATTATTTTCTGTTTAGAAATCGGAGAAGTGAGGACTGTTGACAGGGAAGCTTTTCCTCTGGAGAGCTCAACAGCTGCTCTCGGGCAGGCAGCGCCTTGAAATCTATTTAAAGGGAGAGAAAGGGGAGGAGAACAAAGCGGAGATGGAAGAAGCCGGCAAGACAAGCCGGAACGTGGGGGTGCGGGGGGTGGAGAGCAGCTACGAAGCGCCGCTTAGCTGTGAGCCCCGAACTCTCACATCTGTACATGCGATCGATGGCAAGGATAATCCTGGTGATCTGCAGACCTTCGCCTTCTTTGCCCCACCTTCTCATTCCAAGGAAGAGAAGACGGCGGTGATGGTAATGAAGGCTTTCTGCCTCACAATCACGTCCTCTCTGTTTAATAGTAGTAATACATAAATAAAAAACAGGAAAAAGGGGAAATCCCAAACCGAGTAAAATGGGTCGGTTTACCTCTACCTCCTTCACAAGTGAAGTGAAATCCAAAATCTTAAATTGAAGCAATCTACCCTGGCTTGGTAACTGGCTGCTTGTGATTATGGCTTTGATTATAGAATAACATATTTTCCAAAAGAGTGAATTTAGGGCGTGTTTTGTAACACTAAGACGATTGAACTGGGATCAGTTTGATGGACGAAAACATATGCACGCTTAACGGTAATCAAAGCCCTCTGGATTGTGGGGGGCGGTATTTTTTACTAGATGTGCATAGGGCTGTACTATTTCGGATAAAACCCGAACTGTCTCATCCATTCCAAAGCAAAATATTTGAATGTGGTTTTTGTGGGAAACCCTGATATTGAGCCCCAAGCCTTGAGATAATCAGCATAAATCTATTATTTCGATCCAACTGGCCTGTGAATCTTTCCCAACAGAATGCACAGTACTGTCGACATTTATCACAAATTTATACTTGACCTATCCTTTACTCTTGAAATAAATATGGGGAGCAAAGGGAAATGGTTCTTAAATTGGTGTCACACAATATAAATAGAGAAGTCTTGTCTTGGGTAGGATTGCAGCCTTATCCATGAAGCCCACCCCTTTTCCACATCTAGACAAAACCTGAGATGTCAATAGATAGCAAGATAATTCTCCAAAGCAGCTAAACCTGATCAGGCAGGCCTTTTTGCACGCAGCCTGGTATTAAGGGTTGAGTTTCTTCATTCCTAGTCGGTTGGTGAACACCTTCGACTACTCCCTAGGATAGGCATCCGTGTCCCACATAACTGGTCTCAACTCACCCAGCTGAGTTACAGGGTTGATTACTGGGTCCTATCATGTACACCCCCGCCAGCCCTTGGCCTCCCAAAGAATAGTTCACGCACGTGGTCCGCATTTGCAGAGGTAACAGCCTGTTTCTTTTGGCTGCAGGCAGGGAGAGGGAGGTAGTAAAGAGGCTCCGGATCAGAGGAGGCCGAACTCAAGTCCCAAGGGCCTTGTGCACACACCGCCGCCTTCACCACAAGCGGATCTCGGTCTCTCCGTTGGGCTGCGTCTCGGGCAACCTGCTCCGCCAGCGCAGCATGCAGATGTCCCAGCACGTTCCAAAGACCCTGCTGCGGCTGCGAACTAATCGGAGCTCCTCCAGCTTCCTTTCAAGCTACCCTTTGTGCGTCGGCCCCTCCGAAGGAATGGCGGAGGGAGGAAGTGGGAGCGTCAGTGCCTCCCTCTCCCTGCATTGAGGGAAGGTGAGACCTGCTCAGGGAGAGGAAAGGAGAGTCAAAGCTTGCGTTTATCAGCCAAAATAGAGGTTTTCAGATGAGCACGGGTAGAGAAGAAGGACCGTAATTGTTCCTATCAGCTGGACCTAGAGTCGCAGCTAATTTTAAAATATAATCTCCCCCCCCCATAAAAGATTAGCTGCAACTTTGCTTTCAACCAACAGTGATTGGAAGCTGAAGTTCAGAACATAGTTGTACCCAGGAACCCCCCCCGCCCCCATTTCCAAGCCAGTACACTGAAAAGTGGTATCTCAACAGTTGAATGGATTACCAGGATTGATAATACCAGGTTGCATATCTGGTACAATATTATATGGAATGCAAGTTATATGGAATAATTTGAATGCAGCAACGTTGGGCTGATTTTTCTGAACTAAGGTCCATGGAAATCAATGAGATATGAGTTCCTCCTAGCTAGCAGATCTGCACTGAGTGGGTAAAAGAAAACTCATAATCACGTGCTTGTTCTGAATCACACAATGGCATGCACCCACCCCATAAAAAGACATTTAATTTCCAATAAAGTGGCACTTTTCCTTTAAAAAGAAATTAATTTCAAATTGATATTGCTACCTTTTTCAAAATGATGAACCATTTCCCCAGTTTATCACCCAATGTTAAACAGAACTTTTCATTTCACCAATGACCATGAAACAATATTTATCAAGTCTTAGATTAAGAGCTAAGCAAAGATTATGGGCCAGTCCAGAGTAGAATCATGCCTTCTTTTTCCTGCTGCAGAGCCCTGTTTCCTGCATGTAGGAAAATGCCAGCATAAACAATCTCTACAACTAGTTTTGAATTTAGAATAATTGTTTTTCCAGCAGGGAAGCTGCCAGCCAGGAGCTCTTATTCCTTTGCCCTGAAGTGGCTGGTTGTTTGCATAAACTGCTTTACAAAAGAAGAATGGCATTAGGGGGTAAGATTGCTGTTTAAGCACAATCATTCTACTGCAAAGATGTTTCAGTCAGCCAGGGCCCAAATATCCTTATGTAGCACCCACTGAAGATCCCTGAAAGTAGCAGTTTGTTTCTGAAACAGAAGTCATAATCAGAGCTGAAAAACTGAGAAAGTATACCCAATTGGGTGTCATATTATTGTCATCACTATTGTGACATATTTCCCATAAATGAAGTTGCCATTTGCCTGTTTGTGCTTGGTATCTAGAGTGACAAAGACATTTTGATGGAAAGGACAATGATAACAGCAACAGTGGTGCTGCAGCAAAGCTATGTTGCATTTCATGTACTCACAGATTTTATTTAGTGTCCTCTTAAGAATCCCCCCAGCAGTTCTGTAATATTAGATGAGGTATCTGCAGATATTAAATGCTACCTCTCCACTATATAATTTGTTGAAGGAGAGTGGATGCAGGATCTCAAAAACCTCACTCCTCTGGCAGGACCAGTCCAGTGATTGCATTGACTATAGCAACCTATTTGTTGGTGTCTCTTTGAAGTCAGAGGCCTTCCTCAAAAGTTCTGCACTTTGCCTGCCCAGGTTGCCTTCTCTTGGCCTGGTCTCACCATGCTGATTGCCCTTTTCTTTTCTGACCACTGATTAGCCAGGGGAGCCCCCCTTCCAACCCCATCTCTTCAGCTCGCCTTCTCTGCTCTCTTAAGAAACCCTCTTTGCACCAGTTCTGCTCTGCTCTCCTATGAAACCTTTTTTTCTCTACTCTGGCTTTTTAAAAGAGAAGGCTTGTTGTATTCTCCCATACAGAAGCCCAAGGTTTCCCCTCACAAACAATGCTTACATTCAGCCTATACAACTCCCTTCTGTGGGACTCTGGCAAAGAGAAGTACCATTCTTTATAGTTTGTGACAAAGAAATTGCAGCCCAACGGGACTAAGGGAGGCTTGTAAATTGGGCTTTTGCAGAATCAGAGGCTGAGATCTGCAAGCCACTGTCTTAAACACAATGGGCCCTGCCTGGAAAAAGAGGGCTCTTGAAATCACTTAAGCTGGCCTATCTGATGGGAATGCCTCTAACAGCATAAACCACCCAACAGCCTAAGAGGAAATGCACCCATCTGGAGTGGTTCGATCATTCAGTCCTTGAAATCCATGGGTCTTTTTTCCAAGATTTTGATTGCGATGGGAATATTTTGGTTCCAATCACCTTATTGTATAGTAAGACACAAGGATTCTGTAGTTAATCAGACCACTAGAAGGGGTCTAAAGTTGCCAGTGGATCATTTAGATTCAAAGTGTCCTGGTTTGTTGTTGATTTTCTTCAGATATCTGGGGCTTATTTCTACATTACTTACTTTATTTTTGGGGAGCAGAAGGGCCGATTAGTTTTTGGATGGAATGTTTTTTCTCAAATGATAAAATTATGTATCATTTCATCTAAAGTGGACCTGCATGCTTTGTACATATTAACCAGTTTAAGTTAATGGAAAACCCAAGTGTATAGAATTTATTTGTGAAGTTTGATTGTGACAATAGAGCTGATCTTATTTAATTCTGGTGGTAAGAATATTAAGAATATTGCTAATTAAACAAGATCAGGTCATATCTTTTTGATAGACTTTATTTACAATTCAAGTTTAACTATAAAATAGCACAAGTGCAAGGAGACATAATGGCTTATGTCTCTTAGGCTTATAACTCTTATACTGTTCAGCACAAATAATACATATGGAATGATAGTACAGTTCAAGGTTCATCAAGACATATTTCATTGGGCCAAATTCTTCAATGTGTTTCATGAAATTGTGCTTTCCCCCAAGTCTTTCTGTATCCTATTCACCGTCTGATTGTATGTATGCGATATTTTCAGAACTACCATTTATAGCAACTGACTTATGAGTTTAGGTCTTTCCACCAAGAACCCATGGATTGCACTAATCACCTTTTGGGATCACCTGGGGCAACTGTGGCTGGCCCTGAGTGCCTCCTGTTATGCTGAGAGCTCAGGGCAAGCGAGCTTGGAGGCCAAAAGTCAAAGGTCTTGGCCTTTGACTGGATGTATT